TGGATCAATAGCAGTAAAGATAAAAACGAAGGGAAGACGGGAAATTCAAACGCTTGAGTCGCAATCAATATTCTAGAATCTCGCTTGCTTTCTCGCTGATGTCAGCTGGTCAACCGAAGTAAACGAATTTGTACAAGTGGAGAATGGAATAATAAGGTTGCTTAGTTGATCAACGTGATCTTTTAAGACTTGAACAAAGAAAAGCTTAGAGATGGAGTGGTATCCTTATACGACTACTTCATCAATTACAAAGACCATATGCGGATAGACAACTCGACTAGCATAAATTCTGACAGACCTGCTGAAGAATACCATTGAGTCATCTGAAAAGAAGGAAGCAAAGCTATGGGGTAAACAAAAAACCAACCAAATTATCAACAAATTTAAAAGACCAAAAAAAATCTAGCAATCACTTCCAATTCTCAGCTTGCTGATAACTTCGAACTTTAAGGTTTTTCGAAGCTGAGAATTTGAAGAGAAGGAAGGCGTATGTTTACGCGGACAAACAGTAAAACGTGAATAAGTTCGAATTTTATGGGTTCGTAATTAAGTAGGAGTCTCATTGGTGTGGCTGTTTCGAGATGATGTAATCGATCGACAGCTTGGATGTTTATCGAAGAACGAGGACTTCGATGGTTGGAGCAGTATAGTTGATATCAGAGTTACAAAAAATGATTCGATCACCGTGAAGAAATTCTTCCAGACTGAAAATATGTTTGGAAGGACAAGCTTTTGTTTAATTTCTAGAAGCACGAAAGTTAGTGGATTAGTCCTACTTTATTAAAGGCCTAATATCAGCCTAGTACCTAATATCAATATCACTTACAGAATGATGTCTCTATAGCTGGCAAAACAGTTCCACATCCAAAAGCACCATAACGTGCCAAAAAGTCGAATACTGGCTGTTGTAATCCGAAGAACATAAAGAATAGGTCAAGAATACGAAAAACAACAATATAACGATAAGAAATCAACTCGTCCTGGAAAAAATTGATTAGTTTCTTCCATAAGAGAACTTGACAAGATGTGTACTTACTAGTCGTGATACTGTTGTCACCAGTATGTGTGTTCCATAAATGCCAGCCAAAAGTGAAGGTAAAGTGATAAAATCGAGAACCTTCAGCGGTCTGAAGTATTGCTATTGAAATACTCCGAACTGACATACTAAGCTCTCCTTTATCTTCTTGACTTGTACAATCACTACGCTGATATTTGTGTACTAGTAAGCAGCAATCTAGCAGTCTAATTTTTTCCCGCTAATAATGAAACACTGAATAAAATATTTTAATCAATTTCGTTATGTAAAAAATTGAATTGTTTTGCTTGAAATCATTAAGGAG